CCCATTCCCGAGGGACCCCCAGCCCCTGGGACTGTCCCCACCCCTGGACCCCACTGGGACCCCCATCCCCGGGATCCCATTGGAGCCCCTCCATCCCTGGGACCCCATCAAGGACCCCCTCAGACCCTGGGACTGTCCCCACCTCCAGGACAACACTGGGACCCCCACATGACCCCAACCCCAGGACCCCACTGGGACATCCCCTTATTGCTGGGAGGTGGAGGATTCCCACATTTCCAGAGGGGTTTGGGGGTCTTTTGGGCCCCCACCATCTCACCGGGACCCATCCTGGCCCCAGCCCACCCGGGGGACACCTCACGTGTGGAAGTCACATGGTTTTCCGTGTTTTGAGGCTTTTGTGCTTTTTTTTCTAATATTTTTTAAGTTCTTTTATGTTTTAAGGATTTTTTTAACGTTTTGAGAATTTTTTTGTGCTGTGGTTTGGTTTTTTTTTTTTTTTAAGTTTTGGGGACTCTTTTGCTGCTTGGGGGGATTTTTTTTTTGTTTGCTTGTTTGTTTTGGGGGGCCTTTTTGTTCCTGCTTTCGCGGGGTGTTTTTTGGAGGGTGGTGTTTTTTTCGGGGGGTTTTTTCCGTGTTCGCAGTCGTGTTTTTGAGGAAGTTTCTCGCTGCCGATAAACCAAGTCCCTCTGTCCAGTCACCCGTAGCACAACAGGGCTGGTGTGGACAGAGGTGGCCTCCCAGGGGGTGGGGACAGAGGTGGCCGCCCAGGGGGTGGGGACAGGTGTGACCTCCCAGGAGGTGGGGACGTGGTGGGCACCGTGTCCGTCTGCGGGTGACGAGGGGAAACTGAGGCAGCAGGTCCAGCTCTGGTTCCCCATTTGCAGCCCTGACTCTGGGGGGGCTTCAGCCGGGCCCCCGGGTGTGGGATGGGGGTGGTGGTGCCCGGGGGGGCTCACAAACCCCCCCATCCTGCTCTGCAGATGATCTCCATGGTGATGGTGGCCGTGGGGGTCTACGCCCGGCTGCTGAAACACGCAGGTGAGGTTGGGGGCTACTTACCCGGGGCTGATCCCGAGCCAGCACCACAATGGGGGCTGCCCCATCCCTGGGGGACCCCGGGGGCTCTGTGGGGGCTGCCACTGACAGCTCCTCACGACAGAGGCAGCCATGGCCTGCCTGGCAGTGGACCCCGCCATCCTCCTCATCGTGGTCGGCGTCCTCACCTTCCTCATCACCTTCTGCGGCTGCGTCGGCTCCTTGCGGGAGAACATCTGCCTGCTGCAGACGGTGAGGCCCTCCTGGGGGACCCTCCGGGGGGGATCTCGGCGTCTCTCCCCTGGTCCCCTCGCCGTCACGCTCCTCTCTCCCGCAGTTCTCCGCCTGCCTGACCGTCGTGTTCCTCCTGCAGCTGGCGGCCGGCGTGCTGGGCTTCGTCTTCTCCGACAGGGTACGGTGGGGGGAGCAGAGGGAGGGCTGGGTGACCCCAGTCCTGTCCTGCTGGGTGACAACCCCGCTGGCGTCCCCCCTGCAGGCGCGAGGGAAGGTCAGCGAGATCATCAACGGGGCCATCGTGCACTACCGGGACGACCTGGACCTGCAGAACCTCATCGACTTCGGGCAGAAGGAGGTGAGGGGGCTCTGGGGTTTTCCTCTGACAAACGTGTCCCCACTCCTGGGTCAGGCTTAAATCCGTGGGGTGCTGCAGGCTGGGGACGGCTGGTGGCTTCTCCGTGAGGATTTGATGTTCATGGTGATGCTGTTCCGGCAGGCTGGGGAGAGCAGGAGGAAAAGGGGGTGGGGGGAAAGAAACACCCCTCGGTGTCCTGTCCCCCCCGACACTGTCCCAGTCCCTGCTGAGCGCTCCGTGCCCTTCCCACAGTTCAGCTGCTGCGGGGGCGTGTCCTACAAGGACTGGTCCCAGAACATGTACTTCAACTGCACCGCCACCAACCCCAGCCGGGAGCGCTGCTCCGTCCCCTTCTCCTGCTGCCTGCACGACGCCAACCAGGTGAGTCCTGGGGGAACTCGGGTGGCCTCGGGGGACGCCCCCACTCCGTGCCTCTTCCCCCCATCCCTTGGGGCTGCGCTGAGCCTGAGGCCCCCTCCCAGGGAGAGGGAACACACTGATGGCAATGTATGGACCCCCATCCTGCCCTCTGGGTTTGGGTCCCCCATTCCACTCTCCGGGTCTGGGGACTCCCAGGTGAGGTTACTGTGATGAGGTGGTGGTGAATTCCCCCCCGCTGCCCCCAGGGATTGTCCCTTTTTTGGAGCTGGGAGTGTTTAGGGGGCCCGGCTCTGGAGGGATGGGGTGGGAACACCTGAGGAAGGGACACCCCGCTTGACACTAAGGTGAGGGCAGAGCTCCTGGTCACCCCACAGCTGCCCCCCAAGAGCAGGGACCCCGGTGTGAGCTGTCCCCAACCCCTCTGTGCCCTGTCCTCCCTCCCAGACCGTCATCAACACCATGTGTGGCCACGGGATGCAGGACAAGGGCTACCTGGAGGCCAGTGCCTTCATCTACACCAACGGCTGCATCGACAAGCTGGTCAACTGGATCCACAGCAACCTGTTCCTGCTGGGGGGCATCACCCTGGGGCTGGCCCTCCCCCAGGTACAGGGGTCCCCGGGGACTGGGAGGGAGAAGGGTCCATCCCACAGCTCCACTTTGTGCTCCATCTCATTTGGGAGTTGCCTTAAGGATGTGGTTAATCCCAGGGGGATGTCCAAGCAGGATTTTGGGTGAGGGAACAGTGCAAATGTTGGGCACAGGGGGCACAGGGGTGACAGTGCCTGGTGTCCCTCAGCACCTCCCTCTCATGTTCCTCTTTTTCTCTCTCTCTCCTTCCTCTTTTTCTCTCTCTCCCCTTCCCCTTTCTCTCTCTTTCCCCTTCCTCTTCTCTTTTCCATCTCTCCTTCCTCTCCTCCTTCCCCTCCTTCTCTCCCTTCCCCTTCCTCTTCCCCTCCCCTCCTTCTTCCCCTCCCTCCCTCTCTGCCCTTCCCCTTCCTTCTCTCTCCTCCTCCTCTCCCTCCTCTTTCCCCTCTCCCTCTCCTCCCTCCTCTCCAGCTGGTGGGCATCATCCTGGCTCAGCTCCTCATCAACCAGATCCGAGACCAGATCAAGCTGCAGCTCTACAACCAGCAGCACCGGGCAGACCCCTGGTACTGAGCCGGCGTCCGTCCGTCCCACGGCACAGCGGCGGCTCCCGGCACCTCAACAGCCGTTTTCCCAACCCTGGATCCATGGGAAGAGCTGAGGGGGCTTTGCTGGAGAAGAGGGAGGTAGGAGCAGGCTGTGGATCCGTGGTGGCCGCTGTGCTGCGGAGAGGGACGCGCAGGGACACTGGAGACTCGGTGCCTTTGGCAGCCGGTGCCGGGCTCGGCCGGGACGTGCCGAGCTGCTGTGCCCTGTTTTGGGGCCTGACCCAGCCCCAGAACCACTGTCTGTCTGTCTGTCCTGCTGGGGCACAGGTCGTGCACAAAGGTTTGCACTGGGATGTGCTTCCCATCTCTGCGTGTGCTGGAGATGGGCATTTGTCTGTCTGTCTGTCTGTCCACGCACCGAGCTGCCTTTGCCCAAGGTGGGCTCCAGGACTGGGGACATTCCCACCATCGCCAGGTGCCACCAACCCTGTCGGCTCCATCTCAGTGTCCCGGACAGGGCTGGGAGCAGGAGCCAT